GCATCTGCTTATTGAAAATAGAATAACATAGAAGGGAATTTGGAATCGATGGAGAAAATTGTTTGTCACTCCATTTCAAAAAAAATCGTATCGTAATCGAGCAATTGCAAATGTTTCGTATTGAATTAGTAGGCAGACGTAGCCGCGTCGAATAATCTGCGATTCGATATGAACTTGGTTAGGCACAGTTTCGATTGGACAAGCTTGATGGAGAATCAATAAGCGAGCGTTTCAAGGATTGATTCATGGCCACCCGTTAGCAAGAATTCGCTTGCGACTTGCTAAATGAAATGTTTCAGAAATTTTCTCTCTGGCTGATTCAATAAATCTTTCACTTCAGTAGGAATCACGAGGTCGACCAACTTTCATTTTCAGGCACAGATGAACGCGACAACATTAAAGTCCTGGTTGCTACGAGGAGAACTTGAGAAACTGGAACATGTCGTTCTAGAAGGACGTGGGGCACGACTGTTGGGCGAGCATTCTCCGGATCTCAGAACTAGAGTCTTCCTGAAAGGACTCCCAAATTATTTGGTACGGCATACCTACTACACTCACTCGCGATAAATTTCAAAAAAGAAAAAAGAATAAAAAGTCTAACGCGCTGAAAATTCGTCGAGAAATGTATGATTTTTATTTCTCTGTTCTTGTTCATCTTTCAGACGAAAATCTCTCACGTTCACGACGTGGTCTCACGCGGTTCTCTAGCGGAAGCGCAAAAACTTGTATCGGAAGAGCCTAAAAAGAAACTAGCTATTGCGAAAGATCCAGCTGGCACTCCGTTGCTTCACAAAGCAGTGTACCACGATCGTCGAGATATCGTCGAGTGGCTTGTGCAAAATTTTCCCATCACCGTTCAGCAGAAAGACAAAGTAAATTTTCATCGTACGATTTTCCTTTTCACATTTTTTCGTGTCATTTTCTCTTTAGAATTCTTGGACAGTTCCCTTTGCATCGATCTTTAATCATTTTTTAAGTCACTTTATTATTCTCTTTTTCCTCTTATTATCTTATTCCTGTTTCTATCGCATAAAATATTTACACTATTAATTATTAATTGAACTTCATATTATCTGGAATTTTGACTTACTCGAGAATACCTCAAACCATAATCAGGCGATGAGAGAAAATAATTTCAAGCGAAAACAAAATAGGTGTTGCTTGCGTATATAAAAAAAAACTTTTAACTTACTAATTCCTTTTACTTCATTTTTCATTCTCATAAAAGTATGAAAAATAAAGGAAAACTTCTGTGATTTTAAACTTTTTTTTAGCCTAGTGGAGTTTCACTTGGGTTCTCGACAGTTCGATCCGTCTACAGAGAATTATAATTTTTGCCCAAAAGTTCATACAAATACGCATAACTTTCCTAACTATTATGCTACCGATCGTGTAGGACAACGAGTCGTAATGAATTGATCAGTTGATATATCTTTTTTCCTCTTATTTAGAATTTAGAAGATCGTTGAAACGTCACAATCCTATCGTGTCGATAGTGTTTGTGCTTCTCCCAACCGGTACATAATCCAACCAGTGAATAATCGAATAGTCGTTTTTCGTAACGACGCTCGTCTTTTCCTCATCGCGTGACGCGGCTAATAACAAAGTGTAAACCACCTGTTCTTCCCTGCAGTCATCCGGCTTCGTGT